ATTCTCATTCCCTGGCCATCATTTATAGAGGTTTTTTTCAATCATATGGTACATTCACTAGGCAAACAGTTCAATTACATTTGTCATGTGTAATTAAACATGTTTTACGGGCTTCTATTATTAACTCTTCTATGTAGAAAACATGAAAAAATAAGTTTATTAGGTACCTACTATAGATTTACACGCATCCGTGATGTGTCCGTCGTCATTTTTGCGTAATTTTATTGGTTTATGACAGATCATGGATAAATATAAACTCAACTTTAGAGGTTGAAAAATATATCGTCAGTGAAACGTGATAACCTGCTAACTCCATTTTTTACGTTAATAAGTTTTTTATACCATTAGAAAGAGAAAAAAATACTCTATAAATAGGGAAAGCAAATACATTTTTTCCCATTAAAGAAAATTTGCTATTTTAACTCAATAAAATCTGCTAACTCCCAATGATCGGAAATAGCCACCGAAATGCTGCTATCTCCGTAATTTCCGTTACGATCATGCTAAAGCAAACACACGGTTTCTTATTCGTATGTTTCTTTTATTCAGTACGTCGATCCAGGATCGAACTAGGCCAAAGGGTCCCGGGTGGCAATGTAACGAGATTTTTTTTTGAAAATTTGGATTTTTTTTAATTTTTAGTTCAAAAACATGTTTTGTTTGTAATATGGCAACATAGGTAGTAGATTAAATTTACAAGAAAGAAAATCCAATGATTCTCAAAATTATAGCAAAAAATTGGAAATTTTAAAAGTGAAATAACTCGGTTGTTTTGGATTTATTTGAAAAAACGGTAAAGAGAAAATACCATGTTTCTTTTATCGAGATTTACCAGCCTTGAAAATATTTGCACTTATTTAAGACTCACCCTGTATAGAAATCAGGGAACTACCCTAATGCAAGGTAAACCAATGCAACGCAAATGCCATAATGCAATGCAAAAGCAAATATTGTCAAGAATAAATAATGAACTATAAAGGGGGCCCGCGAAGGCTGGGCCCCCCCTAATAGTTATATACAGGTTGTTTCAAAACAAATGCGAAAAACTTCAGGAGGTGATTCCTTGTTCAAAATAAAGGGTAGTTTGCTTCATAAACGTTGGGTCAAAAGTCAACCATTAGGGAGATATCGCGGTACAAAGATGGCGGAAAAATAATCATCTATCATTCTTGTTAACGAAATTTAAAGAAAAATCTTATCAAACACATGCAAAAAACTTTTTTATCTCTTGTGTTTTTTTGATAAAACTTAACGATTTGAAATTAAAAAATAAAATGTAAAGCATTACATGTCAGGACAAAAAACATTTTTAGATAAAGAATCTAGTGGGCTGCTGTCAAACAGTTTTATTTCGTAATAATATCGTTACATTTTCTTCTGAACGATAACCTCTTAAAAATTGTTTACCAAGACAATTTTTAATTCTGTATTTTAATTCATGAAAGTACAAAATAATATCGTTAAAAAAATAATGTTTAAACATTGCAACTCAAATAAAAACACAACGTCTTTTGCAGGAGCAATTCAATTTTTTACAACAAGTGTTGAAAATGTCCACCTTGTGATGTAATACATGCATTTATCCTACGCAATATTGAGCCCCTAATACGCTGAAATATACCAGGATTATTTCTTATTATATCGCATGATGCAATTATGCGATTTCGTAGGTCTTCGATATCCTGTACTGGTGTAGCGTAAACTAATTCTTTTAAATATCCCCAAATACAAAAATCCAAAGGATTCAAATCTGAAGATCGAGGCGGCCAGAAATGAGGCCCACCTCTTCCTATCCAGCGGTTTTCATAATTAAGATTTAAATACCTTCGTACATCTATGCTGAAATGTGCTGGAGCACCATCATGCATGTAATACATCTCTCGTCTAATCTGCAGGGGTAAATGTTCTAGTAGAGGAGGCAATTCTTCTTGTAGGAAATAAAAATACGACTCACCAGTTAATCTTAAAGGTAGAAAATGGGGCCCAATTAAATGTTCATCAACAATTCCTATCCAAACGTTAACGGAAAACTGATATTGATGTCTAGATTCTATAACTGAATGAGGATGTTCTTCAGCCCATACATGCCTATTATGGAAGTTTTGAATTGCATCTCTTGAGAAACTAGCTTCGTCCGAAATAAGAATTTTTGAACAGGGTTTTCCATATTCATTTGATGAAACCATTGGGAAAATGTCATTCTCGGCTCGAAATCTCTTGGTAGAAGAGCTTGAACTCTCTGTATATGGTAAGGATATAACTGCTGTTCTTTTAATATCCTCCATACAGTTGATGCACAAGTATTTAATTCCGCTGCAATTTTCCTGGTACTTGTCTCAGGTTGCGCTTCAATAATATTTAAGACAGCAACTTCTAATTCGGGTGTTCGAATTTGGCGGTGTCGGCCGGTATCCAAACTTCTTTTTTCGAGAGTTCCAGATTCATGCAGCCTTTGATGAAGCCTAGTGAACGTGCTGTGGTGGGAGGTCTACGATTCGGATACATTTCTGTATAAAGACGACAAGCTTCCAAGGAATTTCCATTTGCACGCCCATACATAAAATGCATATCTGCCATTTCAGCATTAGTGAAATTAACCATTATTGTTTTACTGATTATGTAATACGTAATTAAAACTCCTTTTTTACGCAATTAAATAGATCATAAAAAGGCTTGGGAATAATTAACTGATCGTAAGATAATAACGTATTGCAGTAATGTCAAATAAAATAATATTAGAAACCTAAAAAGTGACAGCGGCCGACTAGATTTTTTCCTAAAAAATTACAGCAGCCCCCTAGGTTCTTCATCTAAAAAGCTTTTTTTCCTGACATGTAATGCTTTACATTTTATTTTTTAATTGCAAATCGGCGAGTTTTATCAAAAAAACACAAGAGATAAAAAAGTTTCTAAACAAACTAAGCTATCCAAATTAATTTTTTTGCATGTGTTTGATAAGATTTTTCTTTAAATTTCGTTAACAAGAATGATAGGGGTAGTTTATTTCAACCCCTTCCACTCATTTTAAAAAAGTGAAAAAATTACCAAAAAGTGTGTTTTCATAATAGTAATGCTTCCATAAAATTTCATTAGTCTATCGCTTTTCGTTTTCAAGATAAAAAATAAAAACATTATTTTTCCGCCATCTTTGTACCGCGATATCTCCCTAAAGGTTGACTTTTGACCCAACGTTTATTAAGCAACTACCCTTTATTTTGAATAAGGAATCACCCCCTGAAGTTTTTCGCATTTGTTTTGAAACACCCTGTATATATATATATATATATAATATATATATATATATATATATATATATATATATATATATATATATATATATATATATATATATATATATATATATATGTATATATAATATGGCCAGTCCGACCCTGCATCGATCCGTTCTGTAAATACCGTATGGTATCCGTAAAGGGTAAAGGGAAAAACGAAATTCTCTATATACGAGCAATTCATCGGCGTGCTATAAATAGTTTAACATTACTTAGTTGTACAAGAATTTCCATAATAACTAATCCGTTTTATTTTTTTTTCAACGTTTTTCCACGTAAATGATCATAATTTTTATAAAAATTAAAAAAATAAGGAGAACAGTAATAAAAATTTAATAAAATCACTCACTGTTTTTCAAGCTCGGTCTACTACCGTTATATAAAAATTAGGATAAGCATGGAAGGATTCTACCATATATTCTAAGAATTATAAGTTTAATTTTTAAATTATTTTCATATTCATTAAGTCCAAAATGCTGCTACTTCAGTCCTTTAAAAATTTATCCGTTTTTGGACTTGTATGTTTTGCTTCTAGACCGACGATGTTCTAAATATATGGTTATGAATATCATATTTTTTAAATTTAATTCATTATTTCTAAATCTGTTTGGGTAATATTCAATTCCATTTTCAAAATTTCAAACAATAAAGGTTGCTATCTCCAGAAGTATAATTTTATTTCTTATTTCTGCAAGACGAATATCTGCTATCTCCCTATTGTGTCTGAAAAAAATTATGTAACACGAAATATTGAGTTTTATTGTTCCCCAGCAAATAAAATTCTCATCTCTTTATCATATTAACGCATGAAAATACTTCCTACATGTGTATATATTTTTTGTACCGTTTTTTTGCTCTCCTGTAAAATTAGAAATAATGGAGTTTAGCAGTTTATCACATTTCAGCGACGATATGAAAAAAATCATATAGTGAATTTGGTTTACACTATACAGTATGTCCCCGGATTGTCTTTACAACTTTTTTATTATTAACATTTTGAGAAAAATGCATTCTTCATAAAAATTTTGCTTGTTCTAAAATGGTTAATCCCGTTTATACTTTTCCAAATTTCCATACCGCTTTAGAGAAAATTACAAAAAACATGAAAATATCCTGAAAATAAAAGTTCTAAAAATCAAAATGCGTTTCTATGGTAATACAATTCGGATTTCATTCATTTATAGATGTTATTATTTATTTTGGTTTACATCATATTTTTTGCTGTACCTAGTTAAAGTATCACATTTTCTGATAACTATTATCACTCTTTTCGTGCATTGAACTAAATAAATTTTGTGCTTGTTTAACGTTTTTAAACAGCAACAAATATGACATTAATTAAAATTCTGCCAATAACAATCTATCAAAGAATGAAATCGAAATTGTGTTACCATAGAAACGCCTTTTGATTTTTATGACTTAGAAAAAATTCAAGCTTATTATGATGTTTTTTATAATTTCCTCTAAAAAGGTATGGAAATTTGGAAAAGTATAAAGAGGATTAACCATTTTACAACAAGCAAAAACTTTTATGAAGAATGCGTTGTTAGGTTAGGTTAGGTTACTGGAGCTTGGGATCATGTTTGATCCCTCACTCGGAGGCCTTTTCTCAAAATGTTAATAATAGAAAAGTTTTTCCTCTTGTAAAGACAATCCGGGAACATAGTGTATAAACAACTTTGTAGAAAAATGTTAATAATCTTTCAGGCATCTTGGAGAAAACAACTGTGTACATGTGATGAATGCTTGAAAATGTACGAAGCTGAAGATGTTGCATTTCTTCTTGATCACGAGGATCCAGTCCACTTATACGAGGAAAAAAGCAAAGCCAAGGCAAAGGCTATGGTCGAAAATGAAGATAAGAAATTTATAAACTCACTTGATCGAGTCCAACTAATTGAAGCAATCGCAGGATATAACGATCTTAAGGAAAATTTGGGCCAGTATTTGAAAAAATTTGCGGAAAATAAGAAAGTCGTACGCGAGGAAGATATTAAGGAATTCTTTGAGGGCATGAAGGCACGTAAGAAAGCTAGAGTTGAAATTCCATATAATTGTCGCTAATAATTTACTGCATTTTATTTTTTTTTCTGTCGAAGCATTTTTTATACGTAGTGTTGTTTTAAGTATATCATAATTTCATAAATCTTGATTTCACTGAAAGTACTTAAATATATAATGTATGTAGCTACAGGAATTAAATATTTTTTTTCAGTCGTCAATTTTAATTGTTTCATTACCTTAACAACTAAGACAGGCTACTTGATGTTTCGATTTGTTTCAATAATAAGGGAAATGGTTATAAACTAAATTTTAGAGTAATTAAAATTAAACAAATGACATAGGGTAAAGAAAATTATTTTATTAGTGGGTCTTTTGTTGCTACAGCCCTTGTTTATATATTCTTAAAGTTGTTCAACCGACTAGACAAAATGTGCTGCCAACTGGAGGACAAATCGTGAACCTTTCGGGGCGGAGTCAAAAATATCGATTATTTTCGGTATTTTCCTCAGAGTAATGTAATAATATAGCCCGGGTTTCTGCGAACTTTAATAATGATCAGCTGATTAAGAAATTTAAACGAAACTTTTATTTTATTGTAAATTGTGGATTATTTTTGCCTGTTATTTTAAGAATTCTAAACCGTATTAACAAAGAAATTATTATTTCGATATGTTGGTACATTATTTATAATTTATGATAATGCTAATTGTGCTGTAATTAATATTTAAAAAAAAAGTTCCATACTTATTTTAATTTGATTTAATGCAAGTTTATAAAAGAATCATTTCATTCTTAGATTATTTTATTCTAAATTGAGTTCTTTACGAATTTTACGATATTTTTTTTTGAAAACATAAAACTTTTTACATTTTTGGTGCCAACTAATTGGCATGGTATTATTGGTATGGGAATTAGCCAAGAAAGAAAAGAATTGGCTTTAACTTGTAATTTTTCGAAAAAAAAACATATTATACCTATATCGCTGAAAAGCTTAAAGAATGGCGCTTTTTATGAAGTCATGGCCAACTAGGATTTCCATTAAAAAAACATAATGTTTGTGTCATATGTCAAAAATGACAGGCTTTAGAAAAAAAACAGAAAACACAAACTCATTAGGTATGTGATTATCTACAACTTTTATCTGAAAATTTCACACCTCTACTTTTCAACCAATAACATGCTTTAATGTTGACTAGTTACCATGGCAACTGAAAAAATTTCCGGAAATTTTTTCGAGGCGCCACGAAACTTTAGTGGAAATTTTTTGACAGTTGAAAAGGTTGAACTTAACAAATTGAAATTATTTTAAAATGTCATGTTGGATTAATATTTTTTTTTTTCAAATTTAGGTGTGAAATTTTCTTACCGAATACCACGCAAGCTTAAATTATTCCTGGAAATTTTCTTTCGGGCACGAATATTTTAGGAAAATTATCCCTCGTCTTCGACCCGGGATAATTTTCAAAATATTCGTGCCCTCAAAAAAATTTCCGAAAATAATTTAAACTCTTGTGATATTATAAGTGAAAATTTTTTGTCTAAAATACCATATGATCGAATAAAAACGGCGTCAGCGATGGCTATGAAATGATGATCGATGATATTTCCCATATAATTTTACATATAAAATGACAACGATCTTCATTTCATAGCCATCGTTGACGCCGTTTTTATTCGATTATACGGTAGATTATAATGGAATTAGAGACAAGTTTTAAAATAGCCAAAATTTGTTTTTTTTTAAACATCTAGTAAGCCTTGAACTTCTCCGAAAAATCCGAAAGGCCCATATTTATGACCCCACAAAACTGCAATTCTTTCCCCATTTAACCGACTCTCTATCTTCAGTAGTTTCCGAGATACCCATAGAAAACATCGTAGGAAACTCACCCTGTATAGTATTTAGAAACTAACTATTATTATTATTTGACTAGATTAATTTGATTAATAAGACTCGATTAATTTAATTTAAAATAAATTTGATCAGATTTTTTTTCGTATATTCTACTACCAGAAAACCAAAATTATATGATAACGCACTTTTCAACGAAGTTGATGGAAAATATAGTGTATCTATCACAATACATAATATACTTACTACAATTAGAAGAAAAAGAAAAAGAAAAAATACCCGAATACCTTCACCTACTACTCATCTACAAAATAAACGAATATAATCTCTTATAAAAACACTACACAACTACTTCTTGTATTCTACACTGAAAAAATTATCAAACTTACTAATTAATCAAACAAAAAGAAAAAATAATCAAAGTATCCCTTCACCTACTACTTAACTACAAAATAATAAACTATAAAAACACTACTAAACTATTTCTGGTATTCTAAACTAAACATTATAATTAAACTTAATAAAATTAATCTAATTTTACATTACAACCACTACAACTACAAAGTAGTAAGAACATTTTTTAAAACTAGAAGAAACAGAACTTAGATACGTGCGACCAGTATAGTAGATCAAGCGGACAAAGAATATAAAATACTTTAAAAATGTGCATTCAGAAAGAAAAAATATCTCGAAAATTATCTAAAGAAACATTTTTTTTTCTTATCAGTGAAAAGCATCGGCCTCGTCGGCCTTGACGAATTTGTCGGGTATTTACAATGGTCGAATTGTATAATTACCAGCTTTTATAGCATATCTAATAGATAAAAAGTATCTGGTCGATTAGTAACCAATTGGTACGGTCCGAAAATTATCGATTTTTATTTTCTCTGTTTTTATTGGTTGCTTCAAAATTCAGAGTAACAAAAAATATTTTTCTGTAGTAAAAGACTGTGAAATACGCCCCGCCATCTGGTGCTTTACATCCATAAACGTCTTAGGTTGAGCTACTTTAAAAATTCATATACAAGGCTACAGCTAATCTGAACATCTTAGCGGTGTTCATACAACACCATTGTTTAATTTATTATACTACATGATTGAAAAAAATTAGTCAAGTGCGAGTCGGACTCGCGCACGAAAGGTTCCATACCATTCATTATCTATACAACATTAGATACTCTATTAATATACCCTTTTTTTGCGGTTTAGCTGAAATTTTGAATGCGCGAATAAATAATTAAAAAAAAATTAAGAAACACATTACTAAAAATTGTATTAATCATATATTATCACGAGACCTATAAATTTAATCGATTAAACTATTCAAATATATTTTGCGCGTGATTTTGCTTGGAAAATAGTTGAATGGCACAATAATTTAACAAAACCCGAGACCGCGAAGCGGTCGAATCACCGTTTTATTCTAAAATTATTGTGCATGAAACTATTTTCTAAAAAAGCAAAATCATGCAAAAAAAATTATTTGGGTAGTTTAATCAATTAAATTTATAGGTTGAGTGATATATGGCTAGATTATTTCCTGAATGAATTCATTGAAACCGTGAATTCATTTTCACAACAGCGGTAAATAAAATTTAAATACGTTTCAAAATGATGTCTCGTAAGTAATGTTTGTAAAGTGTTTGTGCTTCTGCTACCTTGGTTACGCACCAACAATGCATCGAGGACCGTTTCGCATGTCAACATATCAAATTCTAACGTATTTTTCTCCACTTATTTGTTCAAAATAATATCGAATAAGGGTTTTCACCCATTAAAATCGTTATTAAGTCATACATATGAGTTGTAAATCAATGTTTTTAAATGAACTGTTGCCAAAATCTCTCAGAATTAGTGATAAACGACAAAAAGAAAACCCAAAAGGAAGCCGAAAAATAATCGCGGTTAAACTGGTCTTGGGATTTAATCACTTATCTAAACAAAATTTATTCGAAAAATTAGATTAGCTGATTGGTCCATTTCACGATGAGGGAAATAATCAATAATAAATATGTAAAAAGTAAAAATAAATATGTAAAAATTAAAAAAAAACGATTAAAAAAAGAGTCGCCTTGACTAGGATTCGAACCTGCCTTACTACGACTCCAACGTCATAGCAGCGTAAAGTCCTAACGCTTTAACCACGCGGCCACCGAGGACTTGAAAGATTCTATGATTCTATGTAAAATTCTTACTTAAAAGATAATGTTTAGTGAAAGAACTTTTTATTTATAAACATTTATTTAATTCTGTTTTTTAGTATTTGTTCTTACATAGCGGCAATATACTCGTAGATACATTATCTGTAAAAATTTCAACTGTCTAGCTATAACGGTTCATAAGATAGACCTTTGTGGCAGACGGACGGACGGACGGACGGACAGCAAAGTCTTAACATAGGGTTCCCTTTGGGTACGGAACCCTAAAAACGGTCGTAAAAACGGTTGGGGAATGATAATCAATAATTTTTGGGAGGTCAAGGCCTAGAAGTAATTTACTTGGCACGTTCTTTATTTTTTAATGACGTTTACTGCCAGTAGGCCTTAAAAAGGTGTAATTTATTTTTATGTTGAAAAAAAAGTGATTTTTAAATGGTAGGTATATTTTAAAAATTCGCGAAAAAAATATTTTTTTGGAAAGAGGTTCGTGTCCGGAAGTGTTTTATACTTTTTAATCTTTCCATAACTAGTGTTAAATTTTGACAAATTTTATGTCAATTTTTAGTAAATGACATCTAGAGATTCACCTGGCCAAAATTATCATCGATTATCATTCCCCAGTCGTCTTTGACGCCGTTTTTATTTTCGACATTACAGGTGAGACAAAAAGTAATTTTTACGAAGTTGCTGTTTTTTTCAAACGTTCACAAATAATTTTTAAACAATTTTAAACGTTCCAAATAATATAAAAAGATTTAAAAGTATACCTTGTTAGTAATTATATCAAAGATTATTTCCTCATCGTGAAATGGACTAATCAGCTAATCTAATTTTTCGAATAAATTTTGTTTAGATAAGTGATTAAATCCCAAGACCCTTTTAATCGCGATAATTTTTCCGGCTTCCTTTGGGTTTTCTTTTGTCGTTTATCACTAATTCTGAGAGATTTTGGCAACAGTTCATTTGAAAACATTGATTTACAACTCATATGTATGACTTAATAACGATTTTAATCGGTGAAAACTCCTTTTCGATATTATTTTGAACAAATAAGTGGAGAAAAATTCGTCAGAATTTGATATGTTGACATGCGAAACGGTCCTCGATGCATTGTTGGGATGCGTAACCAAGGTAGCAGAAGCACAAACATTACTTACGAGACGTCGTTTTGAAAATGTTGTCCGAAAATATTAAATTTTATAGTTAATACAATTCTTATAGTTATTTGCTTCATCCTAAGTCATTCGCTTCATTCTAAGTCATTCAGGAAATAATCTAGCCGTATATCACTCAACCTATAAATTTAATTGCTTAAACTATCCAAATAATTTTTTGCATGATTTTGCTTTTGAGAAAATAGTTTCATGCACAATAATTTTAGAATAAAAACCCTCGACCGCTTCGCTGTCTCGGGATTAAATTAAATTGTTGTGCATTCAACTATTTTCCAAGCAAAATCACGCGCAAAATATATTTGAATAGTTTAATCGATTAAATGTATAGGTCTCGTGATATAATATATGATTATATTTTATCGTGAAACTTTGGTTACGATCGTTGATTTTGACACTTTATGCCAGTTTAATAATATATTTTCATAGTTTTGTGCTTAAGCTTTATTCAGAACCATAGATAAAGGAAATAAACTTAGACTGGAATGCCCGTCAAAACACTAATTGTTTTGGGCGCTGCTAAAGCGGTTGGCTAAGATCAACCGCCAAACAAGAACAGAAATAATTTTCTCTTGCCAAAGTCAGAATCTTCATAAATTTTACAATATGTCAAAATTTAAACCGCTCTCATTGAAAAAATACCGAAAAGTGTTTAAATCGTCCATTTTCAAAATAATTATCGCTACCTTGTGAGTTTAATTTAAATTTTATTTACTCAACCCCGTGATAATTGTGAAAAAGTGACATTAAAAACTTAAAAACCTGTGTGTACTGTGATCTTCAAAAACCATCGTACCATAACAACGTCGGTTTCCAATGTTCCACACATGTGCTTATATAAAATAAAAGTTCTTATATTCAACACACTGTATTTTATTTTTAAATTAAAAGAAAATAATAATAAATTTGAATAAACAATATTTGGCCACATAATTCCAGAAAAAGCCGAACCGCTCCGAAATTATTGAAAGCTTTGTGTCGCGACCGCTGCAAGAATAGCGCCAAATTTACATTGTCCTTATGGGCACTTTCCAATCTAAACTTATTTTATTTATCTATGATTCAGAACCTCGCAATTAGTGGAATAAATTAGTGATTTCAATTACACTTTATAGTTTTTAGTTTACGATCATTCACAATGTTTAAAAAACATAAGTAATTGAAATTAATAGAATATCCTCGCAACAGCTTGCGTTAGTCAGTTGTATCTATAGAAAAAGCCTAATATTTAGCTTATAAAACAAAGAAAACGATCAACTTTTGATTTCTAACCACAATTTCTCTTGACGGAAGATAATCAAAGGCAGTGGCGGCTCGTCAGAATAGACAAGGTAGGCGGGCGCCTACCCTAAGATTTTGGCAGGATTTAAGCGGTTTATTACATTACATTATTTACTATTAATGTTGCCAGTACATAAAAATACTGTTAATACACGAAAGTGTGTTTTAATAATCAATATTATTTTAATATTTGTGGTCTTGTATATTAAAATATTCACTACCGCTGGCGTACGCTGACTGTGTCGCTGCGTTAGAAAACAAAATAATTTTGACCGTTGGAGTGCGTTTGTTCGGCAATTTCTACATCGCCTACTATCAGAGTCGATGTACGACGTACGGCAGTCTTCTGTCTCTGTCTAACTCATCGTGCGGTAGCGACGCGACGGCGACGTAAGTCGGAGTTGTATCGTATTAAGGCGGGGCTTGGGCGAAATCTCCGGTCGCCTTCGCATGAAGTCGTGGAGGCTCGGTAGGCTTAAGGGGATATTCCCGATATTTCATAAGGGGATATATCACATGTCGTTAAGGGGATATTTCATATGATTCATTATACGTAGCATTTAAAACTTTTATATGAAAATTCAAAAACGTTTAAAGCAAATTGGAAACATTTTTCGGCTTTGTCCGAGATTATTAAAAATGATATAACCGGTTGTATTTCAGAACACGCCACAGAAATAAAAGAATTCGAAATAAAAAAGCGCGTTATTTTATTCGGTGCAAGAAGACGATACAACAGATATTACAGAAAAGTCTCAATGTGCTATTTCAATTCGATATATTAATAAAAGCGGCTAACTCAAATATCTTTGCGAATTTTATTTTATGAAATATTAGATAACATTGTTATACATTTAGAACTAAGGTTTGCAGATAGGTACTCGCATGTCTCAATTATTTTTATTTATCTCTTGCGGATCCGAAATTTAAAGAATCCTATAAAAAATTTCCAACGCATTTAACATCTCGTTTAACAAACTTGTTATATTGATACATTTCCAACGCATTTAATAGTGATTTAAAAGTAGATAGACGCAACTAAAATGTTATCGCCTACCCAGTCACACGGGTCACGAGCCGCCACTGATCAAAGGCCAAAATTACATTTCTCGCTAATTTTGAAGTATAATTAGTGGAAAAGTTTGATAACTTTTTCTACTAATTGAAAATGTCTAATTTTGACATTATGAATGCTTACATTGAAATTAAAGGAACAAACTTCTATGCTAATTGAAACCACTAATTTATTCCACTAATTGCGAGTTTCCGAATGAAGCTTTAGGCGCAAAAGTACTTTATTTTTATGCCTACGCGTTAAAATGACTTTTTACATTGTCAATCAAGTCGCAAAATTTAATACTTTTGTGAAAAAAAATTTCAAAACTTTGATTAAAATTCATAATTATTAATTATAAATTAAACACAATATGACTTTGTCCATTATTTTATTCCACATTTATTTTACTAATACAGTACAATCACAAATAAATACGTTTTATATAATTTTTCTATAATTTATAAATTTAAGTGATACATTTTAAAAATCTTAGGTATACTATTTCCGTATTAAATAAATGGACTTATCATAAAAGGGATGTCAATACATCTTTTACCATGTCCAATATAAACATAACCATATTTGGGCGTTTTCATATAGTGATAAAAGACGAAACCTGGCCAATACAAGGACTGAAGAATGACAATACTATTCCCAGAGGTCAACTGTAAACTCCAGCAACCTTCTGGTATGTCAATGTCCAGTGGGTCTAAAAAAATATACCAGATGAATTAGCTAGTTTGCTAGTTTTTTTTTACAATTTATACTGTCAGGTCTAAATCATGACTATACTAGAGGTGGGAATTCTAGTTCCTTGGGAGGAACTAGTTCCTTAGTTCTAGTTCCTCCAGAGGAATAGTTCCTTAAACTAGGTCTTTAGTTCACAATAGTTCCCGACTAACATGGACATCCCCCTTGCTTGCTAATGCGTTTCGTTGTCAGTCAGAACTATTCACAGTATGATCTGTATAATTTTTATAATGTACGGAGATATAACGAGACGTGTAATTGTGTATGTTAAAAACATATAAGTAAGTTTTATTGCAGATAAAAAATAAAAAAAAACTCAAATCAAAATTTAAAAAACTGTAACAAATATTACAAAAATTTTACGAAAAATTGCATTTTTCCTCACTTCAAGCTTTTTGTTTTTGTCTAAAAATTCAGAATATCTACTTCGTTTTATAAGATATTTCTTAATTTTAGGGACCTAAATTGAAACATTCCCATAAAATATTTAAAAAACAAACTAAAAATCAAAACCGTATCCACGACAATTTTCTGTGGTATTTACGCCGCGCCGGCTGTGGCAATAGACAAGGCCGAATCCATCGTCGTCGCCTTCCTTCGTTCGATTCCCGTGAACTAGTCTTTTAATAGTTCCTCTATGTCCGGATCCGATCAAGAACGGTAAACTAATAGGATTGCTCATCTTCATAAGACGTACGTTCGCCTCTTCCCGCGCTTCAGCTGACAGTTGTGACGTCATTGTAGCCCTTGTCAAAGCCTTCGTGGCCTTGTCATGATAGTGTGTATTATTAGTTGCCTATGGTAAACTTATAAAAATAACAGCTGAGAAATTTTGAGTTAATTATTTAGTCAATTTTAAATGCGAAAAAGATGTTTTAAAGTCTTTAGAGCTATAGAGTGTATAAATACGTTCATTTTGTGTTGTGGATTGTGACAAAGTGCTTACTAAGTGCCTACGATATTGTTTATTAATTATTTTAAAGCAAAATATGGAAGTACTCTAAAAAGAATGCCTGCAAAAGGTGATGCTGGGAAGTATTTAATACGATTTATACAGTTAATTTTCTATACTGCATACATATAAGGTGTTTAAATAAATAAACTAAATAATGAACGTTTTGCATTCGGCAACCAATAATGCACGTGTGTGTATTATTGGTTGCCGGATAAGGACTAATAACCATGACAAGGCCTACAATGACGTCATAAAGCGAGTAGTTTTCGCATGCACCTGGCGGAGACTTTTGGCTGAATGAGCAGTCCTATTAGGTTAACTGTTCTTGGGATCCGATAACATACGGCTGAACGGCTGGCACTCCCCACGCCTGCCTAGCATCAATCGCGCTGGCTGATCCATACGTAAACTAGTCTTTTATTTAGTTCCTCTAGTTCCTTTAGGTCCGGGTCCGATAACATACGGCATACAGCTGACACTCCCCACTACTGCCTACCATTGGGCTAGCTGCCTATTTGGCACGCGCGCTAGCCGATCCGTCGCGGTCGCATATTATTCTATATCGGTCACAGTCTCGATCCCGGAATAGGTCCTGAGGAAGTAGTTCTTTGAGAAACCAGGAACTAGTTCCTTTCATTCCGGGGTCGGAATAGTTCATTGGAACTAGTTCGTTCACGAACTACACACCTCTAGACTATACACGGTGAATCTTAAATAAGTGCAAATATTTAAAAAATTTAAAAAAAATGATTTTTTGCTCGTATTTTGAGAACTACTGGATTTTTCTGGGTTTTCTTTTCTATAAACTTAATCTACTACCTATGTTGCCATAATATCAAGATACATATTATCCTAACTAAAAATTAAAAAAAAATCCAAATTTTTTTTTCGAAAAACACAAAATTTCAAATAAAAGTTTCCCGAAACTTTATAGACTTGTTTCTGGGGTCGAAATATACCACTCCTAAAAATATTTGCACTTATTTATGACTCACCCTGTATTAAAATTTTTGTTAAATTTTCTAAATTTCGCCACCGAAAAATGTGAAAAGTTACAGGGAAGCTAAATGATATCTGGAGTTTCTGTTAGTGTATAAGTCGGAAATTGCCACATTACGCCAGTAAATGTTCAATAGCTAGTTCAATAACTAATTTGAAACATATAGTCTAAGAACTAGCAACGTTTTCGAGAAAGTATTTTAAGACGTCTGGCTCTTTGATATATCTTTTACTATGCTCTCTAGAACAGCATGCGGCCCGTAAGGCTGCCGATACCCTTTGCGTTCACTACTGCGCATCGGAAGAAGATCCTACATATTTTTTTTAATTTAGTCCTATAAATTCGTGTACTGAATATAAATCGAACATGTCTCCATGGCGCAGTGCGTAGAGTTTCCGACTACGAACCGAGGATTCAGAGTTCGAATCCGGGTCATGGTACCTATTCTTGACATCGTTCGCAGCTTTGCGTATACGCATCACGTGTATTGTTTATGGATTTTTCAGAGATGCGAGCGATATTTGAAGATGCGAGTGGTCAAGAATAGGTAGCCAGGGCAAAGACTTTTTTATTTTATTTTCGTTTATATTCTGATAGTAAAGTATTAAATAATTATAAAAAAATATTTAATACTTTGGATTAGGATTCGAACTCCGATTTCGACTCCTCGCTTGATGGGCAGAACCATAAAATAATTAACTAGAAAGAAGTGTCAACTCTGTGTTAAATCGTGGAAACACGATACGCCACCGAAAGCCTTCGTTGTCGTCTGGAGAACCAATTTTCCAATTGACAGGTTGACATGATGGCTTAATTTTCATTTCCGTTTCCGGTTATTCAATGGCGGGCCCTCTTTCAGTTCAAATGTATTTCGTATTTTTTCTTTTCATAAATAAAACTAAAAAATAATTTATTCACATATATTTATTTGAAATATGGAACAATGTGACTAAATAAATATAAAAATATAGAGGATTATGTTGTTTCAATACCAATTAGTTAATTATAGGCACTTTTAACGTAAATTAGTTAAGATATAAGCATGACTTACAGTAATTTGTAAATAAACACACGTATTCGCAGACTCCAAGGACAGAAAACGGACACAGGAACATGAAAACGGGAGCCTTATACAAAAACCTGAAAATAGAAAAACAAATTTTTTTATACTAAAATTAACAATGTAAAAATATCAATAGGTATAAAATATAAATATACTGTTTAAAAAAAGCGTCCATTATTCCCAAAGAGACCGGCTTATAAATCAAAAAGAAGCAAAAAGAGACTTTTAGTCGGATAACATAATCAGATTATCAGTCCGATTTATTGCATTATTGACAATATATCGCACATACTGGAGATAACTAATGTTGGCTATAGTTAAAAATGATCTTACCTTGCTGTAAATTGTTTCCATTTTCAAAAAAATCGCCGATCAAAGAGATTATAACACCATTTTCTTGCATCTAAAAAATGTAAAAACAGTGTTTATTTACTACCTATTTTTCATATACATGGGACATACCTACTACTGCAGAAACGTCATTTTCTCCAGGATTCTTCATGTAATATATATTTTATATACTTTATTACCTTTATATTCATAAATTTCAGCCGAAATATTAAATTGAACTTCCAAAACGAAACTAAAGGGAATGAATTTAAAATGGCGTCGAATATTTTCTAATTTGTTCTAGAACAAATCTGAAGTTGTCTCTGAAACTGAAATCTGTCAATTCTAAACTGTGAAGTTAGACAAAAACAATGCTGTCCTTGTCTAGGCGGCCATACTTGTCGTGGGGAGAATGACAGGAATGAATGACACTAATGACTGTTTCCAATTTTCCTATTTCACTGTCACCCCCCTGGACAGAACCTCTACGCGCTGAGCTATGGAGACTCGGTCGGTTTATATTCAATACTAGAATTTAAAGGACTAATAAAAATATAGGATCTTCTTTCAATGCACAGTGGGGAACGCAACGTTTACCGGCAGCCAGACGGGCTGCATGCTGTTCTAGAGAGCAGAGTAAAAGATACAGGGTGACAATTTGAAAACGAACAGTATTTAATATTACCTCTATCGATGATAGTATGAAAATTTGGCGAAATAGGTTAATTTGAATATCAAGGGGGATAATTTTTGAGGCATTTGTTGTCATGTTACTTTCAACCCTTTGACCCCCAGGGCACCTACCCCTAAAATTTTAAATTGCAACACCTATTTCTTTTACCATTTTTGTGTTCCTTATAAAATTCTCAAAAAAATAATGCAGTTTATGTAGAATTCTATAAGAAACACAAAAATTGTAAAAGAAATAGGGGTTGCTATTTAAAATTTTAGGGGTAGGTGCCCTGGAGGTCAAGGGGTTGAAAGTAACACGACAACAAATGCCTCAAAAATTTCCCCCCTTGATGTGTAAATTGACGTGTTTCGCCAAATTTTCATACTATCATCGGTAGAGGCAATATTAAATACTGTTCGTTTTCAAATTGTCACCCTGTATATCAAAGAGCCAGATATCTTAAAATACTTTTTTTTCCGACGTTGCTAGCTGTCGTACTAAAACTGCTACTATAGACTTTTACTAGTGAACGAAATCATTAAAATTTTCTTTGCTTTTTGACTAGAATCTAGCAACAGCCGGTAACTTAATATCCGGAAATTACGATAAGAACCTATTGATTCAACAGCGGGCTGAAAATCTGACATGGCTGAAAATTATTCCATTTTAATATCAAGACATTGGAAACAATCAAATTGGCATTAAAAAAAATAAAAAATCTCAAAAATGGTTGAAATCAGAATAATCAAAATTTATTTGTGCCACAGACTGTGTTTGTGCATATTCGTATCAATTTATAATCAGTTACCCGGTAGCGGCTTTGTGCTTTTTGAGTTTAAGTATGAAAGCAAATATTTTGATTTTGGTGCTTCTTTTTTATTATCGTTTTATCGTAATTTTTAGATGAGTCAAAATATTGTCAAAAGTGTTATTTGTCC